CAACAATAATGCAGTGTTGGTCCTGCACAGTCCCGGCAACATGGCTTCTTGCGCCGATTGATTTCCTACACAGCAACTGAAAACCGCAAAGCTGCTGAGTCCCGGCAGCCTAGCTTGGACTAACCTTGTTGCGCTTATTGGTCTCGTGCCAGCCGCTGAAAACCCTCAAGGTTTAGGGGTTAGGCTTTCGCGATTTCTCCACCTCTGGGTCGGCGGATTGAGCCGGAGGCTCTCAGTTTGAAGGAAGGCAACCAAAGCTGCCTGCATCTGGGACTTGGCTGCTACCAGCTTGGCTAAGCCCCCACCCAAAGAATGGCCGGTGATGTAGAACATCCTGGTTGAAGGTTCAGAGTCTAAGGACTTTAGAGTTTACGGTTTAGGCTTTAGACTTTGGGGTTGAGGATTCAGGGTTTAAAACGACTTATGGGTCCCATTGTCATTGGACTTTAGTACATATAAGTATATACGGGTTATATGAACATCCCTTGAGTACCTGTGTAGGTATATATGGATTCTATTGGCATTGATTCAGTGTCGGACGTTTGCGTCCTACTTTGTGGGACTGTGGGGTTACTAAGGGGTGAAGGAACCTATTCATAAAATACTACAGTAGGGTTATACGTTGCACTGGGTCATTATGGGAATATAGCATATTGCCTAACAGCAGGGCCCGTCAACGTACTGTTCAGGGGGTTACTTATCGCCGATGCAGGGTCCAACTTGTGTGTCCCACCTTGTATCTTGTAAATGTCAGGGCTAAGTTTGCAGGAGGAGTAGCGGGTTATCTGAACTATAGTCTGAACTCCTAGTATCCCCCCTTAATAGCCCTTATAATACTCCCCTATAGATTCCACTATATAACCCTCTTCAAGGAGTTTAGACTATAGCTCATCTGTGGCTGTGTTTTGTCAGGAAAGACAGCCAGGGTGCAGGGATGTCGGGCTCAGGGTGTCGGATTCATGGCTTTGGGACTGGCTCTGGGGATTCAGGAACTTGGATAATCCTCATATCACTGTTCTCTTTTCCATTATCCCTAATTATATGACCCCAATATACCATATTGTTGTCTCCCTTTTATTTTCCATTATATGGAGGTCCTGTATCTGCACGTAATACAACCTGCAAGATGCCAGAGAACACTTGGAGGAGCCCAAAAATGATCAACTCGTGGCTCAGGATTTAGTGCTCAGGGATTTTTCGTGGTTCACATGGGTTGTGGCTGTGAAGCACATCATGCAGTCATAGCCTTTTACTGCAACACCGGTCTGGCTTTCTGTCATGAAGCGGCTATGCAGCTAGATTCTGCAAACCTGTAGAATCAAGCTATGAAGGTCAGATGCTTACGTGGCGTCTGTGACAAACAGGGGCTCTAGGCAAGGACGGCGTCATGTCAGAATTGATTGTAAAAACTTCTAGACTCCAGATGTATATACCTAGTTGATTAAGACGCTGTTTGTTAGCAACAGCTGGATGTTAGCTAGATGGTATCCACATTAGCTGGAGCAGGTCAACCCCTTAACCCCAAAGCCCTGTCATGCTCTGTGTCCTGTCAGGAAGCTGAGCTGTGCGATTTTGAACATGCGCCAGGAGGTGCGAGAAATACCTGCTTTTTGTAGCATCGACGGGAGGCAATTCTACACCCTTCGCGGCATATCCCACTCCACACCGAAAAATAGAACCCCACCCCCATTTTCCTGCAGACACCCACTTTCAAAGGAGCACTGTTTCTGCATACTCTCGCCATACATCACCGTGGAGAGGAGGGCCACAGACTGCCAAAGATGAGCATGGTAAAGCTTTACAGCTTGGGTTCTGATTGGCCGCCGTTTATAGGGTTTCAGACTTGCATTGACTTATAAGAACCAGGCAGAGGTTTGGTTACGTTGCCTTGAAGAAGGCTTAGCTTCCCTTAGATCAACACATGAACCCAAGCCAGTTTTTTATTGCAATCGTTTCCTGCCACACTCGGGATGTAGATGAAACCGTGGGCACGTGCGATGCGGCCTGAAACATGGGGCAATCAAGTGCCCATTCTTAAGCCAGGTCATGTTGCTTGACATGTTGGTATATGGAGTGGAGGGGCCTGTTACATAGATTTCCAAATCAATATCAACTGGTATAAGAGAGCCTGTTTTGCCGAGGCCCCAACTGGCCTTTATCCAATGCGTCAAATCTGTGCAGCAACACCTGGCTAAAGACTTGCCTGCCAAAGGCGGTCGCGCGAAGGGCTGCGCGAGATATTGTTAGCCAACCTTGCACGCCTTTACGTCAGAAGTTCTGCAGGCCCCCTATTGATAGACGACGTCTGTCTTGTGATGCTGCAGCTGCCGCGTCTACGGCTGCTTCTGTAGTTGCCGCCACGGCACACCGCCGCCGCCTCCACCACCACCACCAACAACAAGAACACCACCACGAACACCATCACCAAGAGCACCAGTACTAGCATACTCCCTTCGCATTCCACGCAGCCGTGCCTCCGCCACAGCGTTGGAGAGAGACGGGCCTTAGCGGCAACGTCTGATGGTCAGCAGACCTTATGCATCTCATCTGAAACTTGTTGCTGCACGCATGTGCAAGGATGCTCTGGGCACTTTAGGAAGTCTTCGACATGGCTTCCAAAGGAGTTTGGATTAGCAGTGTCGTCCAAGTCAAGCTCACACCCAGTCGAAAAGTACACACCAATCGCATGCATGGCAGCGTCAGCTTTTTCTCAGAATCCTTCGCGCTGGCAGAAGCGAAGGAAATTGATTCCAGTGGCATCGCGGGGCTGGTAGAGCAGAAACATCCTGGCAGGGCTGCAGACACTCAGCGCGTGAGTGCGGCATGAGAGGGATCCCTGCAAACAAGTCCTGCTGAAATATGATGATGAACACTCGCAGACATCAAGCCTGCAATCTTTGATGGCAAACAAAAAGGCGTGTTTGGTTGTGGTTGGTACAAGCATATCCTCATAAAGCTGCGCCTGTAGGCCTGGATGGCGACATTGCCAGGCCAAAGCTACACTGAAGCTTGACATGGATAGGGGTTTAGGGTTTAGGGTTTGGGCTTAGGGGCACTAACTCGGGAAGCACTCGCATGGCTGTCCTGAACAGCCCGTCATAAGCGCAGCCGGCCACCTGAACGGAGAAAGACCCCTATAGTAGCCCCTTTTGTAATCCCCATGATTGCAGTAACTTCCATGTTATTTTCCATTAGCCCCCATAAGGGCTCTGAACAAAATATGCTTATACACCTCTATCTAATGCCTCTATATATGTATGCATATCCTTTGAAGGGACCTATTTACTCCCCATAGAGCCCTATGTTTCAGGTTTTCACGGGCATGCGGGGAGTTATTGTGAGAATCATACAGGGGTCAAGAACAATGACCAGATAAGGACCTGTGAGTATGAGGATTCTTTGGGGTATAGGTTTAGCATTTGTGGGTAATTAAAACTCAACAGCTGCCCTCATGAAGAGGGAAGCATGCAGCCACGCGGGAATTCGAGAAATTCACTCTTCTCAAAGTGAACCAAACCGTAAACCCTAAAATGATGATAGGATCCGCCCCGTATTAGGTTAGCTTACTGGAGACTCCTTCAAAATAGTCCCTGCATAACCCACACGATTTGAAAGCTCCCATTTTCTTTCGTATACTTCCCAATGATAACCTGATAACCCCAAATCGTGTATGTTCCTGCATACCCCTAAATATTCGTAGATAACCTTTGTAAACCCACCTGAAACGGGACGGGACCTCTAATTTTCGGAAACCCTAGTCCCTGAAATCCCATATATTATCCCAGCTTCCATTTCATTTTCCATTTCTTGTCCAATTGATTCTCCATTCTTGTGATAACATCCCTATGTATCCCTGTATTCGATAACCCGTATACAACCCGAAAGTACCCTCTAAAAGGGCCCTCCATATCTGCATCTAAACCTATATCTATACATCTATGTAGATATCTATCTATATATCTATATATCTATATCTCTATATCACTATATCTATATCTATATATGCATCTACATATATATATATTCTATATACTATAAACCCTAAACCCTTTTCTTATAGACCCCATGGGCAGGCCTGCTGCATGGAGCTGCCCTCTGGTAGCGGCAGGTCCTGGTAAGTGAGTTTAGGGGTTCAGGGTTTAGGGTTCCGATTTGGAGTTTTGAGCTTGGGGGTTCTTGAAGTTACGGTTTATGGGTTTAAGTTGGGTACTGCCCCCACCCAGTAACAGTCTATATTAGGGGTCCTATTAGGGGCTATATATAACCACATTATACTTATTATCCAACTGTTACTGAGGGGGGGCAGTACCCAAGGTTTAAGGGTCTTGGAGTTTACGCTTTACGGGTTTAGGGATCTAGGATTTAGGGGCTTAACTTATCCGCAACCCAAAGTAGGACCCCCAATCTTACCAGCGCCCATATATAAACCTAACCCCGAAACCTGAATCCTACAACCCTTAGCCCCAACTCCTAATTCAACCCTAAAGTCGAACTGAAACACCACACACTACATCCTGACTCCTAAAACCCTAGACCCTAAGCCCCATCAGAGATGGCCAACCCACCTGAAACATAGTCAAAGCTCCTAGTATCCCCCTTCATAACGCCTATAATAGTCCCCTATATAACCTCTGATAAAATCCCCGAACCCTGAACCCTAAACCCCCTTTAAGGAGCTTAGACTATGGCCCACCTCATGGGCGTGAGGCTGTAGGAAAACTGCCATGGAGGCCCGCTCGTAGCCTGCAGGTGAGGATTTCAGGGTTTAGGGCTTTAGGAATTTGGTTTTTTAAGGGTTTAGGGCTGAAGGTTTAGGAATTCAATTTGTTTAGGGGCTTTAGAGGTTTAGGGTTTAGGAGTTCAGGGGCTTTAGGGATTTTAGGGTTTTGGGGCTACGGTTTTGGGATCTAGGCCTTAGGGCTCAAGGACAAGGAATTGCTCTCTTCTGGAAGTTCACTGCAAGACGCGTTTTCCAGCCCCTTGCACCAGCACAGCTCACAGACTTCGAGGGGAAGCAACCCTAGCCAATCCGCAGATGCGACAGTTAAAGAGGGCCTTGGTAACATAGGGTTTAGGGTTTAGGTTCTTAGGGTTTAGGGTTTAATTCGGTCTTTGGGGTTTAGGGTTTAGGTTTTTTCTGGTGTTTAGGGTTAAGGTTTTTAGGGTTTAGGGTTTAGGTTTTTGGTGCTTAGGGTTTAGGTTGTTAGGGTTTAGGGTTTAGGTTTTTGGGGTTTAGGGTTTAGGTTTTCAAGGCTTAGGGCTTAGGTTTTTAGGGTTTAGGGTTTAGGTTTTTCGGGTTTAGGGCCTAGGGCTTAAGTAGGTTTATGCAGGCGTCAGAGACAGGGATCGGATAGGGTACTCAAAGACCTACAGACTTTTGCGCCATCAATAGTCTCCCTTAAGTAGCTAGAATATAGGAGTAATTTTGGGATAATGGAAAAGAAAATGGAAACTACTATAGTATATTGGGGTTATATAGAGATTCTATGGGGATTATAGGGTAGATATTGGGGTTATATTGGGATGAGGGGAAAGAAAATGGAAA